CAGACCAGTTAAACCAGATGCTCTGAGGGGAGTTGAGGCCAGGCACTGGTACTTCTAAAATGCTCCCCATGTGATTTGAAGGTGCACCCAGGCTTGAGAACTATCACTTAACTGCAATTATAATCATCAATTATTTTAACCTAATAATGATCAATTATTACAGCTCCCCCACCAGCATGTAGTGACCTGATAGTTAGCTATAGGTAGTCATTGTCTCAAACTTTTTTTTTTTGGCCACTAATTCTTACTAAAGAGTTTCAGTTTGTTATTAAGTTTTACCACACAAAGATATTTCTATGGCATAGTGGTTCAGAAGATGTGATTTCTGAAATATATTCTCTCTAGGGGAACCATCTATTTGTAAAAGTGCAGAACCTGGTTGCCTTTACTCATGGAGAGTCCCTACACTTTGATGAATGGAGTCACTTGGTTGTTTATGGATATTTTATAGACCATATAGATCCAACCACAGATTAACAAAAAATAAAAGTTTTCCTCCTCTAATGTATCTTTATAGATCATATAGATCTAAACACATATTAAAAAATAAACGTTTTCCTCCTTTAATGCAATGGTGTAGTGCCTTCTTTTTTCATCTGAGCAAAAAGACAAGGTTAGGTCCTCAGTCATTTTATGACAGTGGGATACAATTTTGGAACACAAATAGATGCAGCTGAGATCCTTTTACTGCTCTTTCCGCTCAGCTCAGGTGAAATACTCATTTTCAACCTTGCTGTCACTCCCGACAGTGATTGCCGTCTAAATCTATTATTATAGCTTCTGTCTTCCGACCTTGATATCCTCTAACTACCCACTTCTCTCCTGTTCTTCAGCTGCGTTCTAATCTTTGCTCTCTCGGGATGGAATTCCCCTCCTTCACCTCCCTGATTTCTGTCTCTGCTTTTCTTTTCAAAATGCCGTGCTGATATCACCTTTCCAGCTTTGTCTAGCTTACCCATTCTTAGAAATACTCATTGCTTCACAAGAAACATTTACAGCTCTTACGTGGATTCTTCTGTAACCATTAAACTCTTGAAAAGCAAAGATATCAAAAATATTTACATGTTGGCTTTTTTAAAAAATCACAAATGATAACAACACACTGTAAATATCTTTACAAATCTAAATCAGGTTCCTACAAAGCAATTAACCATAGTGCCTTTCCAATTACTCTAAAAGACCTCTGCCAATGCAACGGTATGCGCTTTTCTGGGTTCTATAGCCCCTTCTTTAATAGCATCTTCCTCTTTGGTTCTAATTCCACCAAACCCTCATTTATCACTTTGTGTCTAACAAGAATCTGTTGAGACAGGAAACTCCCTTTCCTCAGGGAGTAGGGCTTCGCAAATGTTAACATGAATAAAAATCACCTGGGGGGGTCTTAATAAAACTCATTCTGATTCAGTAGGGTCGGCTGGGGTCTACGATTCTACCTTTGCAAGCAGCTCCCAGATGATGCGGCTGCTGCTGGTCAGGGAAACACTATTTCAGGGAACTTCTTAGCAGCTTTGGTGCTCGCCCCATACGTTGTATCACCAAAGATTTCCTTAGGCTCAACTAATATGGTCTCAAAAAATCAACTCTTGGCTGGGCGCGGTGGCTCATGCCTGTAATCTCAGCATTTTGGGAGGCCGAGGCAGGCAGATCACTTGAGGTCAGGAGTTCGAGACCAGCCTGGCCAACATAGTGAAACCCTGTCTCTACTAAAAATACAAAAATTAGCCAGGCGTGGTGGCGGGAGCCTGTAATCCCAGCTACCCAGGAGGTTGAGGCAGGAGAATCGCTTGAACCCAGGAGGTGGAGGCTGCAGTGAGCCAAGATTGCACCACTGTGCTCCAGCCTGGGTGACAGAGGCAGACTCCGTCTTAAAACAAAACAAACAAACCCCAAACAAACAACAATCAACTCTCAACCAATTCCTGAATTAAGATTAGGTCAACAGCTTCCATATTGATGATGTTGGTTCTCAAACTGTACTTAAAAGCTTTTTTTTTTTCTTTTTTCTTTTTTTTCATTTTGCCAATCCATCTTCCTAGTTTCTGACTGAAACTAGGTTACTTATGTAAACACGACATGTCATTTGCTTCAACTCTTGGTCCTTAATCATTCCTCCTGAGCAACTCATTTACAACAGTAGTTATTTTCTAATTTTTTTTTAACATTTACTTTTTAAATCATAAATTATCTTTTTATTAGCACTTTTAAAACTTTCACTGTTTTTGAATTTAATAGACATGATGGGATTAAGAATGTTCAGAAAGCACCTCAAACACAAACATGCCACAGACTAATAAACAATGCATTGGTCAAGACAGAAATGATCAGTCACAACCAGTAAAGCTATTTTTTAGTGACAGGCAAGAGTCTTTTTGAGTGGATTTGGTGCTTTGTTGGAATGTATGAAACTTAGTAAATTGAAAGCTTATGTGTAGAGTTTAATTAAATAAAAGAAAAAATACGTTATATTTCCCAGTACTTGTGGTTTTCAAATCTATTAGATAATAACGGACCTGTCTCTGATCATTTGATCACTTGCTTTGTACCAGGCACTGTTTCTGAAAGGTAGAAGAAGGCTCAATAAACAGCACTCCTCTTTCTTATTTGTCTGAGCAAACTGAGAAATAAAACAATAGAGTCACCATAAAGAGGCCAAAACATCACTTTTATTTCTAGGAAGACTGATGGAACACATGGCTTATATTCATGGGCAAGCAGAACTTCTAGTGCCCAGTCACAAAAAGCATGGGGTTGCCCTTCAAGCCTGTCCTTAGGTAGCAGAATGAATGCTCTTTGTTGGAAGTTTTCACTCAACAAAAAGAAAGGACGATGAGACCAAGCTCCTGACTTCCTAGCTCACTAATCATCATAGTCACCTTTTCCCCACCAGGAAAGGCTGGGTACTTCTTTATGTTAGCAGAAGAGCTCCCTTCCCACGGAAGAAAACATCAAGAGTGCGGAAGAGGTAGTTCCCCAGCTACAAGCTAAGTCCTTTATCTTATTTAACTCCTGCAACAAAACAACATTTACTGGGTGTCTGTTATGTGCCATTCACTGTTTTCAATGCTGGGGATGCAAAGCTTAGTAAGACAGCAGTTTACATCAGGGCCTGTACTTGTGCTACCCACCTTACTGGCCTCATCCAATCCCAGCCCTCACAGATCCTGTGTATTTAAAATTTTGATATTTTGTTCATCACAGATTTTTTCATTAATTTTGAATTTTTAAAATATCGTATTAAAATATTACTTATCTTGATTACTGAGCTTTTTGGCTCCCGTAAATTTTGTACCTGAGGTGAATGCCTTGTCTTGGCTTTAAAATAAATTTGTAAACAACTAAATTAATAACAAATAATTATTGAATAAATTTTCTAATGTGTACTAAGTTGAGAAACAGGCTACATGATAGGAAGTGACTGGGTGTGTAACTTGAATGGTAAGGAAAAATCTATCTAATGTGATGCTATTTAGGATGTGACTCTTATAAGGAGCCAGACAAGGGACAGTTTGGAGAAAAGTTTGTGAAAACACTACAGGTGGAAATAAACCTGGAATTTTCAAAGAACATACCAAAAAAAAAAAAGAGGCTATTATGTCTTAATTGTCAAGGACATGATAGGTGACTAGTAATCAATTTGGATAGCGTGCCAGAAAAGGTTCAAATTTTAGGGCTAAGGGGGTAAGGAGTTTGAATTTTATTCCAAGTGCCCAGGAGGCAATTGGAAGATTTTAAGCAGGGGAGCAACGTGATCCAACTGATCTTTTAAATAACTCTCTCGGGCTGCTGTGTCAAGGATGGATTATAGGGGTGTGCATGGCAAAAGAGTAGCATCTGGAAGAATTGTCAGTGTTCCTACTGAAAGAGGATGGTGCCTTCGACCAGAATAAATATAGTGAAGATATAGAAAGAGGAGCAGGTTCCAGAAATATGTCAGGAGTAGAGTTGATTGGATTTGATGGGTTAATATGGGGAATGAGGAAAAGAGGGGAACCAGAGGTGATTTCAAGTGTCTTAACCTTGAGCAACTTGGTGGATGGTGGTGTCATTTCCTGAAATGGAAAATACAGGATGAGCAGATTAAAGGTGAACATGCAATGAATGAAATTTTCAATTTTGTGTAGGTTGGTCTGAGATGCCTTTTGGATACATGTTGTATACATGCTTACATGAGTAAGCAACTGGTATGAATTGATGGAGAGGGAGGAAGTACAGGGCAGAGAATAGAGATGTGGGAGTCATCGGTTCCTTGACAGAAGTTACAGCATGGTAATGGATAGACTCACCTATGGAACAACACATCTGGAAAAGAGCTGGGAGGCTGGGCATGTAGCCTTGGGAGTGGCTATTAAAATAGGAGAAGGGGTGGAGGGGAAGGGAGAGAGGAAGTATGGAGTGCTTAGCAAGAGAAGAATGTGTTTTAAGGATGGGATGATAAACTGCGTTGAGAGCCACTGAGAGGTAGAGAAAAAATCAGGACAGAGAAGTAATAAAAGGCACCAGCAACATGGAAGTCACTGGTGCCTCGCGAAAGACGATCACCTTTGGTGTGTAGAGCACAAAAGCCTGAGGGGGTAAAGAGAGAGTGGAAAGTAAGAATGTCGAGACAGTCGACTATTACTGCCATTTTATGAATGAAGAAACCGAGGCTCAATATTTGACTAACTCATCCAAGGTGAAAGCCAGTGGGGTCAGATCCTGGACCTAGAATCCATGCAATGATTTGTGCACATCGCCTATGCAAGAGATAGATCCAATTCTCTTCCAAACCGTAAAAGCCAACACTTCCCTCAAAGGAGGCTTCGAGCTAAAGCATCCTTTCATGATGCCGCTTCCATTTCAAAGAAACAAAACAAAACAAAACAAAACAAAAACGAGAAGGCCTGGTGCGGGCTAGGAAGGAGCGGAGCAGGTACTGGCCCTCTCTGCCGGGGGAAGACCCGCCCCTTTTCCGCAGCCCGAGCCGGGCGCAGTCCACTGCGGCTGCGCGAGCCTGGCGCGCGCGGGGCGGGAACGCGGAAGGGGCTGGGGCTGCGGCGCGGAGGCGAGGAGCAGACCGGGGGCGGGGCCGGCAGTGGGAGTGCTGGGCGCGGGGTGGGCGGCGTGGGACCCAGGGGGCGACAGAGGCAGCAGGAGCCCGAGGCCTGAGGAGAGGAGACCGGCGGCGGTGGCAATGCTGGAGACCCTGCGTGAGCGGCTGCTGAGCGTGCAGCAGGATTTCACCTCCGGGTGGGTATACGGTGGGCGACGAAAAGGGACCTGAGGGGGCCGGGCCGCGCCTGGGATGCCCCTGCCTCGCTCCCTTCCCCGCGCTTCGGTCCGGGGTCCGTCCCGCCCCGCACCTCCCCGCCCCGCCCCGCCGAGGAAAGTAACGAACTTCCCGGCGTTCTTGCGTTGGGCGGCGCAAAGTAACTTAGGTCCCTGCGGGCCGCCTCTGACGCGCACCCCCAGGACCGGGAGGCGCTTGGCGGCGTAGCGGAGCTCCCGGGGGGTGTGGGACCCTGCGGTCCCCTCCTGGCAGCATCAGCCGGGCCCTGGAGGGGAGTCATGTGAGAAGCCAGCGCGCCTCACCGCTTCCGTCCCCGCGGCACAGTGGCCTGCGCCCCTTGGCCCAGCTGACACCTGCTCGTGCGCACCTGGAGCTGAGCCCGCCGCCCTCCCCGGATCGGATCGCTCCGCGCAACAGCGCGCACCCTCCGGTCCGAGCCTTCCGCGCCGCGGCTCGGCTTTCACGCTCGGCTCCGCGGCCTAACCCTTGGCAAAGCTGGGCGCCCCTCCCCGTTAGCTTTCTTTCTCTACCTTTGCCGTGAGCTCAGCGCCTCGGCGAAGGAACTCTTAAGCAGGAGAAGCAACAGAACTCTAGGAATGCTTTTAATACCCAGCGGTTCCCAAACTTTGCTTAGAATCACCTGGGAAACTTTCAGAGTTCTGATGCCCAGGTCTCACCCCATACCTGTTAACCAGAGTGCCTGGAGACGGCGTTTTAAAGATCCCCAGGGATTCCAATGGGCACCAACGCCTGGGAACCACAGACCGAGACTCCGGCGTCACATTGCCTAGGCATCCTGGCTCAACCACTAACCCAAACGTAGTTACTCAGCTGCCTTGCCTCAGTGTAGTGTTTCCGCTGCTGTAAAATGGGGATAATGATGGTACTTAAAAGGTTATTACAAGGATTAATGAATTAACATGTAAAACACGAAGTAAGCATTATGTCAGTAGTGTTACTTAGTGCATAATTCGTTTTAATTTTTTCATTCCTTTAAAATGAAAAAGATCTTTGAAAAGGATCTTTCAACTTTAGCTTACAAATCCTGTTGGAGGATGCACTGAATGTGAGGCATTTTCACTCATACTGTTTTAAATTTCTATCCCCCAACCTCCCCACTCCCCCTTTTTTTTTGAGATGGAGTCTTGCTCTGTCGTCCAGGCTGGAGTGCAGTGGCCTGATCTCAGCTCACTGCAACCGCTGCCTCCCGGATTCAAGCAATTCTCCTGCCTCCACCTCCCGAGTAGCTGGGACTACAGGCACCCGCCACCACGCCTGGCTAATTTTTTGTATTTTTTAGTAGAGACGGGTTTCGCAGTGTTGGCCAGGCTGGTCTCGAACTCCTGACCTTGTGATCTGCTTGCCTCGGCCTCCCAAAGTGCTGGGATTACAGGTGTGAGCCACCGTACCCGGCCCACCCCTCCCCCCCACTTCTTTTTTTAAAGTGACAAGGTATCCCCCTGTCGCCCACGCTGGAGTGCAGTGGTGCTATCTATCATAGCTCACTGCAGCCCCCAACTCCTGGGTGCAAGCGATCCTCCCTCCTAGACTTCCTAAAGTGGTGGGATTATAGGTATCAGTCACTGCTCCCAGCCTTGTTTGGAATTTCTAATGAGAAAGATTGTTAGCCAAAATTTTATCTTATTGGACAAGAATGTTAATACTATTTGCGTATTGGGCGTTGAATAACAACAAACTGTCAAACGCTTGAGCACTTAACACCCGTCAATCATTTTTGTTATTTTGGTGTTTAGAAAGTTAGTTATGGATGCTCAGAGTCATTCACTGATGGGTGTGCTTGCATGCTTACATTTTGTTCTCCTATTTAGTAAAAGTACCTTCTTTTCAGAGCGTAAATTATTGTATTGAAAACCTTTTGGTGTGATGCTGAAATGGCCCATTTGTAGCATGAGAGTGACCTGTTAGTACTTCATGGAATTGCTTGATGGCATAACAGCCCATCTTGTAGTTACTATAACTCTGTAAGTCACATGGTTGCCTCAGAAGCATTCATGCTCCTGACCTTTGTAAGAGGGCGCTTTACCCAGGAATGTAGATTCTGGACTGGGCTCTGGACTGCCGGGGCACAAACCATCCTGGGAGATCAGGGTAACCCTAAACGTTTAGAGTTTAGTTAGGGAGAGACAAGCCAAAGGGATCTGGTTAGAACCCCTTGGAAACTGACTTGACTTCTTCAAGATGCCGTAGTCTGGGGCCATTTTGGAGCTAGACATCCTGAGAGGGCTTCATTAGGTCCTTTGTTGGCTTTTTCCTGTACACGTCACTTTCAGCTGACAAACCACTGGACTGTCTGTGCCATTAGCCTGTCACCTGGTGGAGAAATAACTCATCTCCAAGTGATGTCAGTCTCCCAGTAGACCCGTACCTCTAGTGCCTGATGTTCACTTTCTTCAGGTCCTCAATTTCCTACACCTAATCTGTTCGATTAAACTTTTCCATATTCAGCTTGAGATTGACCTACTTTACATAACTGAATATTTTTGCCATGAGGAGAAACGATGACACTAAACACAGGATTCATGTGTTTATTATATATTGGTAATGTGGAATTCAAAGATTAAAGAGGCATGACCTGCATCGCTAAAAAATAAACACATTACATAAATGCAATGCTGATATCACAGCTAATAAAATTAACACTAATTCTTTTATATTATCAATTATGCAGTCCATAATCAGATTTCTTTTGTTTTTAGAAATGACTTTTTGCAGTTGGTTTGTTCAAATCCAGATCAGATAAGTTTCACACATTAATTTTGTTTAAAAACCAATTTTTGAAACAGATGACTGTTAAAGAGCCACATGGGGAAGCTTTATTGAATCTTCTAACAATTTTGTTGTCCCAGCTACTTGGGAGGCTGAGGCAGGAGGATCCCTTAAGCCCAGGAGTTCAAGACAAGCCTGGGCAACACAAAGAAACCCCATCTCTTGTCTGGGCATGGTGACTCACGCCTGTAATCTCAGCACTTTGGGAGGCCGAAGCGGGCAGATCACGAGGTCAGGAGTTCAAGACCAGCCTGGCCAATGTGGTGAAACCCCGTCTCTACTAAAAAATATAAAAATTAGCTGGCCATGGTGGCGCGCGTCTGTAATCCCAGCTACTTGGGAGGCTGAAGCAGGAGAGTGTCTTGAATCCAGGAGGCGGAGATTGCAGTGAGCTGAGATCACACCACTGCACTCCAGACTGGATGACAGAGCAAGACTCCATCTCAAAAAAAAAAAAAAAAAGAAAGAAACCCCATCTCTTAAAAAAGAAAGAAAAAAATGAAAAAGACATGACCCTGGCCACCCAGAGCTATCTCATTGGACCTGGCGTTTCTGTAGAACACTTGGTGGCAGAGCAAGTGTGTGGAAACCAGAACAGCTGCCTTCTAAAATAATTGGAAACGCCAGGTGTGCAGATTGCCCCAGGGACTGAATGGAAGGCCTCAGGCATTTCTGGGCTCCTTCAGTGTGGCCAGTGCAGCTCCAGCCGCCCGCTGTCACCCAGAGCAGCATCCTGTCTTCAGAGCTTCTCTGATCATTTTCACTTTCTGAAAACTCATATGAAGGCCCTAACTCTAGACAAACTTACTTTTTTTCATTTTTAGTAAAATAGGACGATTCCTTATCAGTCTCATAAGAGAATGTCACCTTGGTGGTGAAATCATGTCCAATGAGAATGAATTTCTACATTCCGTTCAAACTTAGAAAAAGTACAGCTTAAGGTCATTATTCTTTAAGGGCAGTGTAGAGATTACTGGTGGTTTGGGAGGAACTCTAGGTTGTCCATGGACTTATGGCCTTTTTTGTAAATTTTTATGCATAGTAACAATTATGTCAACATTGAGAACAACTAGTGATTACATCACATTCCTTCTGCCTTAATTGGGTGGTAGGCCAGCTGAAGGCCACAGACTGAAAAAGACTGGTTCTGAGCTTCACTCAAAGATCTTTTCCCCTCACCTAAAGTGAGTTGTAATTTGATTTAACTGAGTCAGAATTCTTGGAGCCTTTTGGAGAGTTCACATAAAATATCCCTTTTTACAGAGATTGGCTTGAGCTCTCGGGGAGACTTTTGGACATACTGAAGTACATGCTTCGAAGCCACTCTGGTCTTTGACTTTTACCTTTTGAGCTGTTATGACCAAAGGCCTCAGGATTGAGGTATTTGACATGCAAACCCTTCAGGGAACTGAAAATCGGATTTACTGATGGGTTTACAGCTGGCTGTCACAGGCTGGTGTTTCCTGTTTGTGATGCACTGGGTTCCTGTGGTTAGGGATAAAAAACCTGCTATTGTTGCAACTAGACAGTGGGTGTTTCCCCCTTAAAGCCCTCACTGCCCCCGCCCCCCACCTCCGCCCCTGCCCCCCACCTCCACCCTTGCCCGGTGTCCTCATTCTCTCTTCTTCTGTCCTTGTAGTGTCTACCAAAACCTGCACAAAATGGGAGGAGCCAGTCATCTAAACCACCATGTGTTAAATGGTGAAGTGTTGCTTGAAATGTTGACTTTTCCAGGATTAACCATTTTCTTAATAAAATGAAAAGAATCTCAATATTCAACTTAATTTAATAGATTTAATAAAGATCTACTGAGTTCCTATTAAGTGCCAGTGCCAGACACTAGACTGGGCACTCAAAATGTCCTTTTTCTTAGAAGCTAAAAAAAGATTTGAGAGCCCATATGCTCAGTTTTTCCTAGTCTTTCCTAAGCAGTGTCTCTATATTGGGCCAGATCCTGCAGGTACAAAGGTGATTAAAACAGTCTCTGCCCACCGGATGCCCTAGACTGGTGCTGATGTAAAGCAAAGCAGAATGAACAGAATGTTAAATATACAAATAGTGTGGTATGTGAGTCCGAAGGAAGAGTCATTAGTTAGGATGCATTTACAGAAGGCTTCAAAGAGGAGGGGGTTTCTAAAACTAGGCCTTGAAGAATGAGGAGAAATTGCGATAG